ATTGCAGCACTATTTACAATAGCCAAGGCATGGAAACAACCTAAATGTCCACTGACAGATGAATGGATAAAGAAGATGTGGGGTGTGTGTGCGTGTGTGTGCGCGCACGTGTGTGTGTGTGTGTTCGTGTGTGCATGTGTGTGGGGTGTGTGTGTGCGCGCCTGTGTGGGTGTATGTGTGTGTGTGTGGGTGTGTGTGTGTGCGGTGTGTGTGTGTGTGGTGTGTGTGGGGATGTGTGTGTGGGGTGTGTATGTGGTTGTGGGTGGGTGTGCGTGTTTTTGGTGTGTGTGTGCGTGTACATCTGTAGGGTGGGGTGGGCTGTGTGTGTAGTGGGTGGGTGTGCATGTTTTGGCATGTGTGTTTGTGCACATGTGTCTGTGGGGTGGGGTGGGTTGTGTGTGTGTGTGTGTGTGTGTGCATGTGTGTGTGTGGTGGGGTGGGGTGTGTGTGTGTATGTGTGTGTGTGGTCGTGGGTGGGTGTCGTGTTTTTGGTGTGTGCGTGTGGGGTGTGTGTGTGGTAGTGGGTGTGTGTGTGTGTTTTTGGTGTGTGTGTGCATGTGTCTGTGGGGTAGGGTGGGCTGTGTGTGTGGTGTGTGTGTGTGGTTGTGGGTGGGTGTGCGTTTTTGGTGTGTGTGTTGTGCGTGTGCGTCTGTGGGGTGGGGTGGGCTGTGTGTGGTGTGTGTGTGTGTGTGCATGCATGTGTGTGTGGGGGGTGGGGTGGTTTGTGTGTGTGTGTGTGCATGTGTGTGGCGTGTGTGTGTGTGGTTGTGGGGCAGTGTGGGTGTTTTGGGGGTGTGTGTTTATGTGCGTGCATGTGTGGGGTGGGGTGGGCTGTGTGTGTATGGGGATGTGTGTGTGGTGTGTGTGTGTGTGTGTGTTTGCATGTGTGTGGTGTGTGTGGGGATGTGTGTGTGTGCGTGCATGTGTGTGTGTGGGGTGGGGTGGGGTGTGTGTGTGTGCATGTGTGGGTGTGTGGGTGTGTGGGTGTGCAGGTGTGTGTGAGTGTGCGGGTGTCTGTATGTGGGTGTGTGCGTGTGTGGGGTTTGTGTGTGTGCATGTGTGGGGGCGTGGGGTGTTTGTGGGGGGATGTATGTGTGTGTGTGGGTGTGTGTGTGCGCGTGCATGTGTGCATGTGGGGTGGGGTGGTTTGTGTGTGTGTGTGGTGTGTGCGGGTGTGTGTGTGCGTGTGTGTGCGTGTGTTTGGAGTGTGTGTGGGGTTTGTGTGTGTGCTTGTGTGTGGGGGTGTGGTGTGTGTGTGTCTGTATGTGTGTGTGTGTGAGTGCATGTGTGCGTGTGGGGTGGGGTGGTTTGTGTGTGTGCATGCGTGTGTGGGGTGGGGTGGGGTGTGTGTGTGGTGTGTGTGGGGATGTATGTGTGTTTGTGTGTGTGTGTGTGCGTGCGTGTGTGTGTGGGGGGGCGGGGCAGCAAACAAAGTCCTGCCGGATGTTCTGTTTCCCATCCTGTCCCCTTAAAGCCCAGGCTGAGTGCCGGGGTTGGAGTTGGAGGAGTGGCTCCTCAGGTCCTATGGCAGATGCCCTACCTGTGTCAGGCGAGTTCATCCTCTAAGCTGCATCCCTAACTGCTGCTCTGGGAGGACAAAGAGAAAGCCCAGTGGCAGCAGCTCAGGGAAGCCCTGCTGGTCTCTATGTCACAGGGAAGTCACTAGAAGTCCATCCCACCAGCCAGCTCCTCCATGGACTGCAGGGTGCAGCATCCAGCTTCCCCTTAGCAGCCACCTGTGGGCTTGGCTTGAGCTGGTCAGACTCTCAAGGCTGTTCCATGCAGAGCTGTGGGCAGCTGCGCAGGCCCAGGTCCCCTGGGGGGGCTCTGAGAACCTGGAGACTGGGCTGAGAGCAGCGGCTGAGGCCCCCACTGTGGGAGCAGGGAGCCGGGAGAGGGGTGTCCACTCTCCCTGGCAGGGGTGTTTTGAGAAACCTCTGGTGTTGCAGTAACTTTTCAAATAGCTATGGCTCATCCCCAGCCTCCTCCTTCTTGGAGACGACCTTCTGCCCTGGGTTCTCATCTCTGTGGAGCAGGTCGCCCAGGAAGGCAGGACTGAGGGAAGGCTGCTGCTGGGTGAGGGACCTCAGCTCTGGCTGTGGGCAGAGGGCCACGTGGGATCCTTGCCCATGCGCCCTTCATGGAGACTGCTAGCACACAGTGAGTTAACCTTGGTCATTGAACCCAGCCATCTGAGAGCCCCACCTTCCCTCTTCCTGCACACACATGGGTGATGGAGTCAAGCCCAGAGACGTTCCTCTGGGAACATGGTCCCAGAGCCAGTGGCCCCACTGGCAGGCCTACCTATGTGGTGGCAGATCCAGATCCAGATGGCGCGGACCCTCTCCAGGTCACTGTGGGCCTCCTGGAGCAGGTCGCTCACCAGCGCGTCCAGGCCGCTCTTGACTGTCACCTGGGAAGTGGGAGGAGTGTGTTACGTCAGGGCCCAGACAAGGGCTGTGGGGAGCCCAGTGCCTTACCACCTGCAGCCAGCACTGCCCTTCCTCCAGGCAGAGAAGGAGGAGAGGCCCAGAGGCTCAAAGGCTGGGCTTAGGGCAACCTTGATGCAGGCTGGACACGGTGGGCAGTGCTGACCAGCTGAACCACTGGCCCTAGAGCCATCACATCTTCTCTCTGAAGCTCCTGGGGCCAGTCAAGTGGCCATCTGGGCGCTGTAGCAGCCCCTAGTCATGGTCATCACTACCCGAAGCAATCGACAGATTTAGCACAATCCCTATAAAAGTCCAACAGCCTTTTTTTTCAAAAATGAGAAAACCAGTCCTCAAATTCATATGGAATTCTAAGGGGCCTGGAATAGCCAAAACCATTTTGAAAAAAGATGAACAAAGTTGGAGGACACAGATTTCTGGATTTCAAACTTACTTAAAGTTACAGTAATCACAACAGTGTGATATTGACATAAGGGTTATATAGACAGAATTGAGTCTAGAAATAAACTCATATGTCTATGGCTAATTGACTTTTGACCAGGGTGTCAGGTCCATTCAATGGAGAAAGAATAGTCTCTTCAATAGATGGTACCTGACAACTGGATATCCATATGCAAAAGAAGGAAGTTGGACCCCTACATCATACCATATATAAAAATTAACTCAAAAATAATCAATGACCTAAATATAAGAACTTAAACCATAAAACTCTTAGAAGAAAACACAGGGGTAAATCGCAGTGACCTTGGATTTGGCAATGGATTCTTAGATATGATACCAAAAGCACAGGATATAAAAGAAAAAATAGATTAATTTGGCTTCATAACAATAAAAATCTTCTGTGCATCAAAGGACAATATTAAGAAAGTGAAAAGATAATTTATAGAATGGAAGAGGGGCTTCCCTGGTGGCGCAGTGGTTGAGAGTCTGCCTGCCGATGCAGGGGACACGGGTTCGTGCCCTGGTCCGGGAGGATCCCACATGCCGCGGAGCGGCTGGGCCCGTGAGCCATGGCTGCTGGGCCTGCGTGTCTGGAGTCTGTGCTCTGCAGTGGAAGGGGCCACAACAGTGAGAGGCCCGTGTACCGCAAAAAAAAAATAAAAGATTTAGAGTGGAAGAAAATATTTGCAAATCATATACCTGATAAGGGTTTAATATCCAGAATATATAAAGAACCCTTATAATTCAACAACAAAATGACAACCCAATTTTAAAATGGGCCAAGGACTTGAATATACATTTCTCCAAAAATATATAAATGGCCAATAGACACATGAAAAGATGCTCAATGTCATTAGTCACTAGGGAAATACAAATCAAAACCACAGTGGATACTACTTCATACCCACTAGGATGGCTATAGTAAAAAAAAAAAAAAAGGCAATCATAAAAAAATTGGCAAAAATTTGAAGAAATTAGAACTCTTGTACATTGCTGGTGGGAATGTAAAATGGTGCAGCTGCTGTGGGAAACAATTTGTCAGTTCCTCAAAAATTTCAACATGGAATTACCATATGACCCAGCAATTCCACTCCTAGGTATATATACAAAAAGAACTGCAGACAGATACTCAGATACCTGTTCACCAATGTTCATGGGGCAATATTCACAATAGTCAAAAGGTAGGGCTTCCCTGGTGGCGCAGTGGTTGAGAGTCCACCTGCCGATGCAGGGGACACGGGAGCCTGCATGTCCAGAGCCTGTGCTCCACAATGGTAGAGGCCACAACAGTGAGAGGCCCGCGTCCCAAAAAAAAAAAAAAAAAAAAAAGGTAGAAACAATGCAAGTGCCCATCACAGATGAATGGATAAAGAAAATGTGGTATATCCATGCAATGAAATATTACTCATCCATTAAAAGGAATGAAGTTCTCAGACATGTTACAACATGGATGAACCTTGAAAACACAATGCTAAGTGAAACAAGTCAGACACAAAAAGACACAGTGTATGATTCTTACTTATATGAAATATCTAGACTAGACAAATTCACAGAGACCGTAAATAAATTAGAGGTTACCAGGGGCTGGGAGGAGGGAGAATGGGGAGTTACTGCTTAACGGGTACAAAGTTTCTGCTTGGGGTGATTTTGGAAGTAGACAGTGGTGATGGTTGTACAACACTGGGAATGTAATTGATGTCACTGAATTGTACAATTAAAAACGATCCCAATGGCAAATTATATGGCATATGTTTTACCATAATATATAAAAAAAGAGCAAGTTAGGTTTTCTGCATGGATCCTCAGGAGAAAACAGGGCTGGGGTTGCTGGAAAGGCAGCCCTGGCCACGCTCACTCTTTCTAGAGAAGCAGGGGCACCTGTGCGCTTATCTCTGCAATGGTTGTCCGCGCCTCGGTCTGCTCCCACCCTAGGTCCTCCTGACCTAGGAGGTTCCGCCGCTCACACGGGAGCTCCAGGACCCACCCTCTGAGCACAGGCAGACCGCCAGGCCCCTCCGCGTGTCCCCTTGCCCAGCTGCTCCAACACCACAGTCCTGTCTTTGTCCCTCTCCCAGGGCCTAGAAGCACACGTTGCAGGCCCACATTACAGTCTGGCTGACTCCTGACTTAATCTCCAGCTTCGGTTCTATGGTTTCTGGCCCTTTGGTCCCCACTCACTGCTCTCTGAGGCTGTCCAGCAGCCTGTCCATCCCTTCTGGCAGCCATGACAACATATCCCACCCTGCACAGACTCTGGACACCCCCCTTCCCTTGCCTCACTCTCGCAGATGACCAGGCCTCAGATTCAACAAGGCCCAGGCAAGACTTCCTTACTAACGAGCCCTCCTCCTCCGCTGGGCTCTCTGCTGGCCTCGGAGCCAGGCCGCCTGCCTTGGCAAAGCTGCCCTTCCTTCCTCAGGCGCTGCCCTCGCTCCGCTGCATCCTCACCTCCTCCTCCTGGCCCTGGCGGCCCCAGCCTCTCCTGTCTGCCGTGTTTCTTCAAAACGCCCCCCAGTCTCTCTCTCAGGACTGCCCACATCTAGTCTCCCTTCCTTGCCAGGCTCCTGTGGGGTCTTCCTTCCACTCCCTCCCCCTTCAACCCCCATTTGCCCTTCAGCCTTCTGGAGCCTGGCCGAGGACTTAAACCTCCTCTGAGCTGCCCCCCGGAAGTACGAAGGGCCTCAGTGCTGAGCAGTGGAAGGGAGCCTGTCTAGCCTCGCCTGGCCAGAGTGAACCATGACTGCACCTTCTAGAACACTGACCCTTCCTGGTCTCGCCCGGCCTCAGGTGGCTCCTGGCCCTGCCTTCCCCAAGATGGCACCCTCCCTATGGCTTTAGCTCTTAGCTGAATCTGACGGCTCCCAAAGCAGGGTTTCCGGCCCAGACCTCTCCAGGCTAGATACAGCTCCGGGCTCGGCTATCCAGCTGCCCAGGGGTCACCTCCACAGGCACTAGAGCTCACTGCACCCCACACAAACCATCACCCCCGACACATGCTCCAGTTCTCTCACTCCGTGTGCCGAGAAGCTACCCTGCCTGCCCTCCACCGCTCAGCGCAGTGACTGGGCAAGCCCTGCCCCACCTTTACCTCACTGCACACACACTGGGGAGGGGTCCTTCCCCTCTGCTTCCAGCTCCTCTCCGTTCTCAGTGTCCCCGCTTCATCCAGGGACGCCTCCTCCTGCCAGTACAGCTGGACACCCCCTACTGATGTCCCTGCCTTGAATCAGACTCTCTGATCCGAGCTCCTATCATCACTCATCAGTTCAGCAAACAAGGTTCCTGAGTATCCACTACGTGCCAACCCCAGGGTGGTTTTTCTAGGACTGTAGACGATCTCCCGGCTTATCGGCCTAGGATTGCTCACTCTGACCTTAGCAACGGGTCCAGCTCCTTAGCTGCTCCGATCAGACTCTCTGTGGTATGGCTCCTGCCTGGCTCCCAGGACCCCAGTGTGTCCCTAGGGCATCAGCTCTTGTAGCTGCCCCTCCCCACACCCGCCCCAGATGTGCCCAGGCCCAGAGGTGTGGGGGCTCAGCCGCCCACGTGTTCAGGGGTGAGGACTGCTGTGGTCATGTGGGTGTTGGCCATCTGCATCTGCGGTCCTCCCCCCATCCTCACGTCCCTTCCTTCATGGGCTGGGGCTGGCAGGGCTCAGCAGCAGCAGTGCCCCAGTGGGCAGGGGAGGACAGGACAGGGCTGGCCGGAGGCGCCTGCCAACAGGGCAGCGCAGGGTGTGTAGCCTGGGGTGAAAGCATCAGGACCGTGAGTGGGGTGGGGTGGGAGGGTGAAATGGCCTCTGTCCGGGGGCCTTCTGTCCCCCTCCCACACGTTGTGGAAAGGCGCTCCGTACTGTCCATCCAAGGGACTCAGGATACACTCAGGAGGGGTCTGGGGAGAACCTTTGCAGCTCTGGTTTGGGAAACTCCAAGCCGCCTTGTGGGGGTGACCATCGCAGGCAGAGGGCCCAGCTCTCCTACCTGTGAGGCATAGGTGTCCAGTTTCTCAAACTGCCGCAGGTCCAGGGGCATGGATTTCAGGCTGGAGCGATCCCAGGGGTAGGCTGGAAACACAAGGAGGTTGGTCAGGGTCTGAGACTGGCCAAAAGGACTGCCTGGCCCAGGGCTCCCTCTCTTTTTGAGGAGCTGTGACGGCCTGACCTTCAACATGATTCCCGGACTGAAACATCACTCTCAAGAGCTAGATCTCTTAGAAGCGTTCCTCGGTCCAACTGGTTGGGAACCGTGGTAACTCCTCTGGTCCTCTGGGAGACTCCAGAAATCAGCAGTAAAGAAAGTGATTGATTGACCTCAGTGAATTCAGCAGCCCCAGACGGACTGATGACAGAATCCCTTCTCCCCACCCCATAGTTTCCTGAAGATTCCCTGCTAGCTTTTCCAGGAATGAATGCTCTGTGGGAAGCACCCAGGCAGTGCTGCTTGCCACTGATGCCCTGGCCACAGTGCCCGGGTAGTCTGAAGGGCACCCGGGTGTGGGAGAGGGCATGATGGTCCTGGGCCACCTGGACCTCTGTAGGGTGAGGTGCGTTTGGCACCCAGACAGGCTTCTTCCCTTGCCCATGGTCATCTGGAGGCACCCCAAGAAAGTTAAGAGTTCTGGCAACTCAAGGTGCCCAAAGTACAGTGTGGGGGGGGTGCCTGAGGGAAGCTGGGCCTCAGAATCACTCTTTTACACACAGCCTTTCTCAGGGGAAGCCAGGGCACAGAACAGCCCCAGGCAGCTGCTGCAGGGCTGACTGACCAGTGGTCAGACCAACCCATGGATGGATGGGCAGCAAACCCTTGTCCCAGTCCAGAGAAGAGCCTGGGCTCTGGCTGGGTCTTTCTTATTCAAGGCCCTCTGAGCCAGGCTGACCAAAATCAGGCAAGCTGGATAGGAGGACAGGGCAGGGGTGAGAGGCGGATGGGGCCAAAGGGGCCCTGATCCCCTGACTCCAGTGGATCAACTCTCAGCCTGCTATATCAGGAACCTCTGGGTGCTGGGTAAGTAAGGGGTGCTGGTGGGACCCCAGGACATGACAGCAAGCCTGGGAAGAGCACAGTAACATGGGAAAGTGCGTGGTGGGGCTGCACAAGGCCTGGGGTCTAGTCCGGTGACCTCCCCCTCACTGGGCAGCGCTAGAGCCAGCAGCCCAGCCTCCGGCGCAATCTATGGGGTACCTGGGAGAGTGAAAGAGACGGTGGATCACGTGGTGAGGTCAGCAGCATTCTCCTCCCTGGGAGGGTGCAGGGTGAGGGTGCTTTGCAGGCAAGCGCAGAGCAGGGGTGTGAAGCCGCTGTGCCCGGTGCGGGGCTGTGCCTGCATGTACCCACACAACCCTCGTGGACTGTGAGAGTCCTTCTTTTTTCAGTTTAAGCAGAAAAATAATTTATTAAATGTCTTCAAGTAACTGTGTGAGCTACAGGAAGACCAGAACAGCAAGTGTAGAGGCTGCATAGCCAGAACCAGGGCTGTAAGTCAGACTGTGGAACCGCGGGGGACAGCATTTTGGAGAATGTCGCCATTCCCACCGAAATGCATACAGTGGTTTCCTTGGTGCTATAGACTTGAGAGGTGTGGTGAGAGGGTGGGGATGCCACCAGCGCGGGCTGGAGCTGCTCCACGACCCTCCCTGGGCCAGCACTGCATGTCAGGCAGTGCCAGCTGGTCAGGGAGCTGGTCAACGTCTGGCCACAGAGGAGCTCCCAGCCTCCAGTCAAGTTCAGCCGTCAGGAGCAGGCCACACGGGTCCTTCTGCGCTTCCCCACTGCTGTGGGTCCCTTCCTGTTAGGACCCAGGCCTTCTCCCTCCTCAGCCTCAGACTGGATTTGGCCCCCTCTACTTGCTCCCTCGGTCCCTGCTGACGCCCTGCAGGAGTCCTCGTGTTGGGGGGTGCGGGGTGGGGGAGGAGGGTGCGGGGCGGGGAGAGGTGTTGGTCCCTGTGACCTCTGACACATCCAGGATCCGAGGCTGTTCCTCTCCTAAGAGGGGACAGGGTGCGTGGTGGGCAGGCAGGCTGTGCAAACTCTACCGTGAGGCTGTGGCCTGGCCCAGCAACCTAGCATTTTCTTTCTTCATTTTCCGCTCCTCTAATAAGCACCAAGACTCCCTGGACGTCCCCTGCCCCCAGCATTCCGTCCTGTACAGTCTTACCCTGGAGCTCCCTAGAAGCCCAGCGCCATCGCGGCTCAGTGACTGTCTGGTGCCAGAGCTGGGATTTCTCTCCTCCTATCACTCAGATCACTTCAGGGCCTATCTAGGGTGGTCTACCACGCGGCCCTTGTCCAGCCAGACCCTCAGAAGGGAGGGGGGACACAGTAGGAAGCCCTGCCGAGCTTCCCCCCTTCTTGGTGCCCTCTTCCCCCCCACGGACTCTGGTTCCTGCCATCCTCTGACAAGGGCCGTCACGGTGACCTAAGTGGATATGAAGTGGACTTACACATTTAACAAGCGTCAGCTCTGCAAATGAGGTCTCCCCGCCCCCATTTCAAAGAAAGATGCTGTTTCTAAAATGGGACTGAAAAACCCTATTATTAAGAAAGTTTTACCCTTTCTTGGTTCCATTCTACAATATCTGAACATTAGGAATATCCATAATGATTTATGCCTCATTAAATTTACTTTCTGAGCAGATTATATAATATTTGAATATGATTTTGCATAAATACATTTAAAACACCAGTGGCATTAACTAAGTTATTCTAATTTTAAAGCAAAACAATGGGAAGAAGTACCAAACTGTACTAAACCTTAGATGCCATCTGGTCTGAGCCGAGGGGGAAACTGAGGCCCAGGGAAGGTGAGTGAGGGCCAAAAGCAGGATTTGAACCCAGGCCGTCTATTACCCATTCGGGATTTCTTCCTCTGCCCCACTCTGCTTATTCACCTGCCTCCCTCCTTACAGATGCTTGGCATTCCATTTAAAGTTAATACGATTCTGAATTCTGTTTTTAATGTTTCCCATAATGGGCTGCCTTGTTATTGGTGGGGTTTATGCTTTAGCTTTGGGATCACATCTGGTGTGTGAGCTTTTTACTTCTCTACCTGTGTCCATGGCAGATGCTGCCAATCAATCATGATACTCCTGTCCCCTGAGCCCAGAGGTGGCCCCAGACTCCCAGCACGGTGCTCCAGGGAGCCATTTCCAATTGAGCACAGATTGGCTCATGAGGCTAAACCAACTTACCGTCTCAGAGAATGGCTCCAAAGAAGGCCCCGCAACTTACCATGGGCGTCTTTCCCTCCAGGCTGCCGGGGTCTTGTGTTTCCATTTTTATCACCTTGTAAACCTACAATATCCCAAAGGTCAGAAGTAGAGACACTTCAGAAGAAATAGAAATGCAAGCACAGACGATTTTCTGTGTGGGTGTCCTTGTTTCTGACGTCTCCTCTTCACTCTCCCTCTCACAGCCTTCTTGATCCCATCCCCACCCACCACGGAATTGCTGCTGGGATTGCCCCGGGCTTCCTGCTG